GACGGACACAATGACCCACAAGAAGGGAGACAAGACCGGAGACAAAGAAGGAATGGAGACAAGGCGGACACAATGACCAACAAGAAGGGAGACAAGAAGGAAGACAAAAGGACACAGGGCTAGCGGAAAAGGGCGGACACCAGCAGTGACAGGCCTGGGAGACAAATGAATAGAAATGCTACATGGCAAGCGGACACGGGCGGACACCACCAGTGACAGACCTGGGAGACACATGAATAGAAACCTGGGAAACAAATGAATAGAAATGCTACATGGCCAACGGAAAAGGGCGGACACCACCAGTGACAGACCTGGGAGACAAATTAATAGAAATGTTGCATCGCCAGCGGAGAAGGAGACTGGGAAAGGGCGGACACCAGCAGTGACACAAAGGGCGGACACACCCTAAGAAAGAATTGAGAACCCCTAACAGTACACTGTTGGGGAATAATCAATGAAAGGTGCAGCATATGCATGCGAGGTCATCCTGTGTCACGTGAAAAAAATGCAACCCAGCCTGAATCGGTTCAACGTCGAGCTTTGCTGTCAGAAATTGTATTACAGTACATAAGTATCAGCTAGCAGCTAGTTAGTATCATCCATGTGGTCAGGGCACTGGATCCAGCGGTCAGGTGGTGTCAGCCTTGCTTTTTGTCCCAGTTGGCCAGCATATCTCTGCTGATCCACTCAAGCATTCTGTTCTAGATCTTCCCAGAAGCACTCTCACACGGCCTCCCTACCGGACAATCCAGGCCAGGGCGACGCATGTGAATCTGACCTAGGCCATTCAGAGCAAAGAGCGGTCCACAGTTTGCCTCGGAGCTTTTGAAAAGAATACAACAACGGTAGGCTATGAACATGTGTGGCTGGAAGTCCGAGCATCTTCCTGTCCTGTTTTTAGAGCAACATGACGTTCTCTGTGTCAGCCAAGTTGAGAATACTAAACAACTACGAATATATAAGTCTTTCATCTCAATGCCCACTCCACCAGTACAGTATCTCAGTCTGATGATGTTCCACAAAGCCCGCTGCATGCCGTTGCTGTCACTGGTTGTTTTCAACATCCATCAAGATGCAATTGACAGCTTCTGTGCCTCGGCTGGTTGGCGAAGCGTTCCACCAATGCCAAATCTTGCTGGAACAACTTACTGTAGAATTCACCAACAGAGCAGGTGTCTGCCAGAGTGTGATTGCCACCAACTTCAAACATTGATTCTGGTGGAAAATTCAGCCGACTCAGCTGACTCTATACTGTACAGTCTCCGTGCACCTTCCTGAAACTGCTTTTCAGTTGCCAAAATGGTGAATAACGGAGCCACCTGGCTTGTGTGTGGCTGCACTTTCAAGAAGTCACCCATTCTCAAAAAGCTGTTGATGAGCTGCATTAATTTGGGCATGGCTTGCACTCCTCCCGGAAGCAGTACCACTCATAGCAACCCATCAAGACAGGAGGCTCTGCGCAGCGCTTCCCGCAACGGCCTGAGAAGCTGAATGAAAGTGAATCAAAGATCCGAGGATAAAATACTCCACTCAAAAGTAAAAATAGCAAAAGACCCATTGCTGTGCCGCCTAAATGACAAAAAACTTATATAATGACATTTCATAACCAAGCACAACGCAGAAAGTTAAAGCCATGCAGGTAATCATTATCCCAGGTTGTCTGAGTCATCTCTGCCACAGCTGGTGCTGTGGGTTGTCCCAGACTGCTCCTTTGGTTCTCGCATGTCTCTGAACTTTCCCTGGACTCTGCAGCTTGGCTCTGTTTGGAGCTGATCGTTCCGCGGAGCATTGCTGTGGTGTTTGTTGTTGGGCAGGTGTTGCACGAACAGGACTGGCCAAGACTGAAGATGTACCAAGATCCTAGCTCTTTTGCACAGGAGAATCCACACTTGCAGTACACAAGATTGTTCCAGGTAGCGCCACTGACGTTCTTTTAGCTTCTGGTTTGTGGACAATCATCAGGCCTCCCAGCTGCACCTTGAGAAGCCGAAGCCTCATGGGCCCAGCCCATGGTCACCAAAAGCGCAAGGCCATGGCACTGCGGGACCCGACTGTGTTGGAAGAAGCTTGCTTCAGCTTATTGGCAGCTTGAGTCGCGAAGTGATGAGGGGCAAACTTGCAACGACAACGGTCCGCCTGTCCGAGGTGTTTCCTAAAATATCTTGCGCCCTACAGGAACCAAAAATCAGTCAGGTGTTTCAGGGTGTGTCAGGGTGCCTTGTTTGACAGCTTCAAAGTGCTGTCCTGGTCTGAGACATATCAGCAAAACATGATTCCTCCTGTGCTGAGCATCATCTCAGCTGAATTCTCCCAATAAAATATTGGGAAACAAGCGGAAAGCAGCCTGCCTAAATGGCTGCTGCCCACTTGCAAAACTTTGTCGGATCAACTTAGGATCCACTGAATCCACTGAACATATTCAGCATCTGTGCAGCCGTGCAGTCTGGAGAGGGCCTCTCCAGGGCTGCAAAAGTCATGCAGCTGTGACCCCGTCGAGTCCTCAGCATGGTCCTGGTTGGCAGCTGAAGCGGGCACATGCATAAGTGGTCCATGTAAAAGTGGTCACTCGCGCATCCAGGCAAAATTTTCCACAAGCACCTGGGACAGTGTCAGGTGCAATGTGAAAGGCAAAAGCCACAGTCCTGATCTAATTACACATGAAAAACAAATCTATCACCATTTCCATGCAGGACTACAGTTGATTTGGAAGGAGAATTGCTCTGATAGTAACTGACCAGGCACAATATAGAAGGTTAGTGCCAGGCATATGGGCACTGTCCCAGGTCATCTCTCTTTCCACAGTCGGTGGGTTCTCCTGTTTCTCCGAAGTTTGCTGTTCCGGTACGGGCTGTGCATCTTGGCTCTGCTTCTTCAAGGAGCTTGTCCCTAGCAATGCTCCTCTGTTCGTTCCGCGGAGCATTGCTGTGGTGTTTGCGTCGGGACACGCGTCACACGAACAGGACTGGCCAACACTGAAGATGTACCAAGATCCTAGCTCTTTTGCACAGGAGAATCCACACTTGCAGTGCACAAAGTTGCTCCAAGCTGAGCTGATCCCATCTGTGCTGTTTATGCTGTGTCCCGATGTGGGTGTTTTGACACCCAGTGGCACTTGTAAAATCTCATCGGCCTGTCCAACCACCAGAAGGACCAAAAAACCGAGGATGGAAAGAGCCATCGCAGCAAAGTCTGCTGTGATCAGCAAGCCAAGTGAGCAATGCACGTAAAACTACATCGAGCCGTAGCAGCCGTAGCGGAATCTTGCTCTGCTGTGCTTCTTGACATCTGTATACAGTGAACATCAGTGAACTGTTGCCTGCCTAAATGGCACCCCAGCCGATTTCCAGCGAATCGGGTTTGTGCTTCGGGAAGGTGCAATGAAAAGTGATAAATGCTTGCCAAATGTACACTAAGTGCCATACAAGTGCTGCATGTCCTTGGAGTGCTAGGCTGTGAGGGCATGACTTGCCGACCCTTATGTGTGTTGAGTGTGCTACTGTATGTCGTTTTGCTGGACTTCTGAGCACTCTGACTCTTTGATCATCGATATCTCAAATGTCTCTATCTATATGACCTCTATGGTCTGTTGGCTCCAAATAGCCAAGTCTCGCTCTTCTCGCGAACAGCACCTGAGAATGGAAGCCGCACAGCGAGGTAGGACAAGGCCTCAGTTTCCCAAAACAACCACTAAATCCTATTTGGGTGCATCCCAAGTTCCGTTGAGGTGTGCAATGCCTGACATCAAACATAAAGAAACAGGGATTGATCAATATGTTCTTTCCAAAACAAATGTCGGACGCCGCTATTGGAATCCATCACACCAGCCGTTCACTAGCCCATCTGTGACCGAAGCGGCCCGCCCCACTCCAGGGAGATACAGAAAGCGATGGAGGCCAGGCACCTCAGGCGCAAATTCCGTGAAGCTCCTGTGACATCTGAGTCACATCTAGTTCATATCTGGTCTGTCAGAATGTATGAGGCTGCGGCCTGCAAGGCCCATCCTAGGTAGTGCACAAGCGCATCCTCCACAGCCACAAGTTACATGTCAGAATTCAATTTGTCTGCCTTTGTTCATCTCTTTCTGGCTCCCATTTCACCGCTACCAAAGAAACTGCGTCACCACACAATGAAGACAATGAAACACGAAAGGTTTGGCTCATCTCAATCCACTATGCACTCTAGTCCCACCAGAGCCCCGTCCGCATGCTGCGAGATGGGCAAGAAGGGTGCCAAGCGATCCGCATGATGCGCCAGCAGCGGGAGATAAGGAAGCACCAGCTTGGCATGCCTAGCAGAAAGCTTTACGGTGATTTGGATCAAGAGAAAAAGGTTTGGACAACCCCGGGATCTGGTATGTTCTTGTTGATTCTATATATTTGCTCTTCTCTATGCCTCAAATATTTTTCACCGGTTCAAAACCTGATTCACTAGCAGTAAGGATCTGGACAGCTGGGTGTCTGTTCTCAACTTTCCTGCTACTTTAACTATTCCCACCTCCAAAAGCTTTGCAATGTTCGTCACAAGCTTTGCTGGGTGTTTGCCACGTGTTCAAGCCTTCGCAAATTAGGCAGGTGCGGCCCCAAGGCTGGAAGTCGCACCACCAGCTGTGGCAAGAGTGGCTCCAGCCGTGTCCAGAGCACGCCTCAGAGATGATGTCCCATGGGCTATCGCCGGCTATCGCAGCCCCCAAACCCTCGTGATCTGCACTCATATGAAACCCTGGGCATGAGTCTGACGAGAAGCTCTCAGCAAAGAGTCACCGGAAGGAAGGAAGGAAGGAAGCAGCAAATTGACTATATAGGGGGAATGCCTGCAGCAGGAGAGGACTCGGTCAAGCAACGTTCCCGGGCGAAGAAGAGAATGTCGTCCAAGTATTCAACAATCTCGTTGAGGTGTGGGACCACCACATCCTGAGGACTCAATGTCAAGTTGCCCACTGTAGGTGGTTGACAGGTGGGTTTCAGAAGTTTGCAGTCATGTGACAGGCAAGGCCGAAAAAAAGACCCAGATGAGCCTCATGCAACTGAAAGTGAGCTCTACATATCCAAGGAGCCGCGTGCTCCAGGCAGAATTCCAAATGAGGCTCAATGTCATCGAACCTGCATTTGGTGCATAAGAATCCAACTTCACAGTGTCAGCCTCGCTGCGCCGTAATCCCGGAAGAAAAAATTAAAATACTCTGTCCTTTCAATAAGTACATCCAAGTGTGGTTCCACCATCGGAAGGTAGCCGTCCAGTACCTGCCAGCAAGGCAAGCACTGTAAGAATTCAAGCAGTGTAGCCTTGAGTGATGGCTGTTGCATGCTGTTGCCACAGCAGGGTAAATCTTGTCCTTACAATGCCAAAAACGTGTTGAATATTGGACTAAAAGTCAAGGTTGACCCGCCACAACACGAGCAGCTTGTTTGCTTCGGATGCTCGAGCATCGACCAATCCTGCCACAAAGATACTATGTAAAATTCCCGATATACAACTGAATAACTTTGCTGTCTCGGATCATTTTGGCTGGAGCGTACATGCTCGGGGCCACATCTAATCTTCATGGCAGTGTCTTCGGCTTGGCTGAGAGTTCAACATCTCAGCAGATCTCAGCAGTGTACTGGAAATCTCGTGCTACTTCACATGAGATGTACAAGAATCTTTCTTACAGGAGACAACAACCTCGGGCATTGGTCTTTTGTAGCAGTTCGCTCATATCATGAAGTCTCTGGGTGTCCAATGCCTCGACCCACTGATTGGTGAATCCGCACAATGTGTGAGAAAGGGGAACAATGTCAATGTCATGGATGACAAATCGAAGACACCGGCAAGACCACTGAGCGCTGTTGGTATCTCTGGAGGGGGACTTTCAGCCGCTACTGAGTTGGACTTAGTCGCTGTACAGTATGTATATATATATACACATATCGTCTACATTTAAATTTGTCTACTGGGCATTGACCCAAGCAAAGCTCAATGAAGAATAGTACTGTTCCCTACAGGTCCCACAGCAAACTGCTCAAGTTCATCTCATTGACGTCCTGGCTCTGTTGTGCCGAGTTTTTCACAATGTCATGATTTGGAGTTGTTAATTGTTTTTTAAAGAAATGTTGGATACCTTTTGACAAATTTGGACCCACCCAAATGCTCCGAACAGTACGTTTGGTACTTGTGCGGCTTGCAAAAGTTATCAGTCAAGCACCCGCACACACAAACCCTTTGTGGAGTTCAATGAGTTGATGCGATCCTAACGTGTCTGAGATTCCCAGCAAGACCAGCGCAGTTGATCCAATCTCCAGATGTTTAACAGTCACTAAGAAAAATCATCATCACTCCCCACAGCTATGAAGAATCATCACTTTATATACAGTACAATACAGTAATCAATTTCAATCACTTCAGCACTGTTTGAAAGGATTCTGCAAACGGATCAAGGCAGGTCATCTATCTGCGCAGTGGCAGAGCATATGGATTTGGCTACATGAAACTCTTGAAGCCCGAGACGTGCTCGGGTCGCACCCTTGCATAAGCTTGGGACAAACCTCCAAATGTCTAAGTCAGGCAAAAGAGAGGGCCAACACCCCCCAAACCACTTTTTTTGACATCTCAGGAAACTCACATGAAACCTGGTGTGTGTTCTCTTCCACGGGTAGGGTCCCATTTCAGGTTACATGTGGCTTTTCTGAGATGTGTCTTCTCAAGCACGCACAGACGCACGTCTGCGAGACAATCGTGCAAGCAGCAAACGGGCATCGGCATCGTCATGTGCCGGACAGCTGCATGTGAGGATACTAGAAATGTTCACCATGTCTCACCCCAGATCCTCTGCTGAAGGACATGGATCTGCGGTAAGACATAGGAAAAAAGCAAAGCCATCAAAAGCATGACGAGAGGTAACACATTGCAATTGAACCACAAGAAAGGAAGCACCCCAACCGCTGCCCGTGCCTCATCTTCCGAAGGCCCGTTTGAGCCGTCTCAGCGTTCTTGGTCACTGCGCTATTTCACTTATACAGCCGCAGCCACTGCTCTAACTAGTCAATGCGAGGCCATTACCGATTGCGACCTCTGCGACCGCCAAGATCTACTCACTCACCTCCTAAACTGGACGGAAGATACGCATGGCGCGCACAAAGGCCACATAGAAGAACAAGGCAATGCCCAGGCTCATGTAATAGCCATACCTGATGGATGCAAGGATTATCAGTAATAACTGCAATGATTGACGACCTGCTAGGCTTGCTTGCATGAGGCCACTGGTGTAAAGGAAGTTGAACCTTCTATGGCATTCTGCATCGACTAGAGCTTGCCAAGGCACTGTGTGTCTCTTAAATGTTCAAAATATCTACAGTAAACAAACTTATGAACCTAAAAGGTTGGATAAGTCAAGCCATGCTTCTCGATGTGGCCATTGTTCAAGTCGTTCGGCATGAATTGACCTCACATTGGAAGAAGCGTTTGCCGAAGATCTGAAAAGCATAATTCGTCCTTCTTTGGAACCATACAAAGTCTACTACTCTTCTCAGGTTGAAGTGGATGGGTGTAGTAGCATTGCATCTCATATGAACTGCCTCTTAGGATGAGAAAGCTTCAGCACCTGAAATAGATGAAAACTTAGACTATCTTTGACTCCTGGGTTGGGATCCGCCCAAAAAGTCGGAGGAGCCACGCCCTCTTCCGACAGGTTGCTTAGCGCAGTGACCTGCACCCCGAAGATGGCAGTGCCCAAGGCTTGCACCAGGAGGGTCGCCACCTTGGAGCTTCGTCGAGCTATGTGAAACCTGCAAAGAGAGCACAACACTTTGAAGCCAACATAGCACAAAGTTCCGCTGAACTTCAAGAGCTTTCTGGTGCCTGGGATCCCTGCCACGGCCAAGGTGCGCGTGGCTGCTGAGCTGCTGCCTAATAGTTGCAAATGTGCCAGGTGAGATTACAAACATCACCTGCATGCCGACAGGTGCCCTAGCCCTAACTAGCCCTTTGGGTTTCTCATAGCTTCTTATTTCTTGAATTAGGAAATGCAAAAACCTACAGCTATCAATGTGCCGCTTGATTTGCAAGCCTGCGCTGAAACCTTGTTCGGTCTCATCCCACCAAGGTGCTGTATGCCAAGTGCATAATCACAGGGTTTGTGTAGATCTCCTGAATGACACGATAGAGCAACTCGTCACGCCATAGTTCTCAAGCGATCCTTGTTTCCCTCAGACCAGTCTTGAGCCAAGCTTCGCCAATCCCACAGAGCAAGAAGGGGAGGAACATCCAAACCGCTGATAGGTCTGACATGTGAACTCCTTCAGGAGCACAATTCGAGATCCTGTCACTGTCAGAGCGGCTCGGTGGCCAAAGAACTATGGATTGGAAGACCCAGATCCAGGAGCATCCTGATGAGGTCATATAGATAGGATTCATTATATTCACTTTACGCACCAAACTGCGGTTTTGCGTGTAGCTTCTTGTTCCTAGTAGCGATGCCCTTTGTTCCTAGTAGCGTCCTTGCTCCTAGAAGTAAGGCCAGGAGCCCCTAGTAGCTTCTTGTTAGTAGTAGTAAGAATGCTCCTAGTTGCGATGCCAGGAGCCCCTAGTAGCGTCCGATTGCTCCTAGTTGGGTTGTGGAGGAGCCCACATAGGTGACTCTTGTTAGAACGTTGAAACTGCTGTGGACCCCAGCAAAAGCTTTGCACAGGCTAGGTAGATGACAGGTTGCTTCTAGCACCCAATACAAAAACAAACAAAACTGAATTCTGCTGCACCAAACAGCCAGCATCACTGCAGACACCCTCTCCCACCCGCAGTCCGGTCGGAAACTGGCACAGCGCGCCGCATAAGCTCCAGGTAGGCAGCCAAGATCACCGAGAGGCCACCCACCTGGATCTGCACGAGATCTGCTTTTCCCACAGCACTGCCATACTACTTTCTCCACATCAATGTTCAGCACTAAAAATCCTGGCATCGCTACTAGGAACAAACAAGCTACTAGGGGCTCCTGGCCTTTCTACTAGGGGCTCCTGGCATCGCTACTAGGAACAAGGACGCTACTACTTTCTCCACGCTAAAACTCTGGCTTGGCTGGCGTGGTTCAGTCTTTCCGATTTGGGGGGATCCACTGCCACAATCTGAAGCTTGGTGGTTTGAGATGTTTCATGTGGGTGACTGGAGGGTCATTCACCATTCTGCACACGGGCTGTTGGATCTATAATGCAATCTAATGCAAGAACAACAAACATCGTTCCTTTGTCCCATCCTCACCCTGCGGAGTTTTGTAGAGTTCTGGGCTAACTGGAGACTGCCAATTGACCGGTGATCACATGCCACTGGATGGAGCAAGTTCGAATTGCGGGAAATTGAAACGATTTTGCATGGACCTTGTCAGTCGTCCAAGGCTTTGGCCACCTGGTTTTTGCTCGTGCTCATGCCAGGGTGGACTCGGACAGAGCTCTTGCTTTGCTGGCGAAAAAGGCAACCAGCGCTTCGGGCTTGTCTAGGGCTGCGCTGGAACACGGTGTTCAGAAGATTTGGCAAGTCCATCCGGCCCTCTACGCTGGCATTCAGTGGTGCAGCTTCGACTCCAATTGGAGGATGAAGAGGCCGCACGTATGCTATGTCCTGGTTTGAAAATGTGAGTCCGTGCGCTGGAGGAGGGCAAAACAAGCAGTTCAGTTCCCTCTGCATGTAGGTCGATTGCTTGAGTTTCTTTGCAATGTCCGTAGCTCTGAAGGTCGATCTGACTAGACATGATACTTTGGGCATGGCTTTAAGGCATGGCTGCAATGGGCTGCCGAGTTGTCAAGCAAGTATGCTTAGTGACATTTGGTTCCACTTTTGCCTTTGGCGCCCTTCTTGCCAGCACTCATGGCGGCTTTGCAGCAAACGACAATTGGCTTCACTCATGGCCTCAAAAAGACTTTAACGCTTCCTGCAACTGCCCCGCCCTGCTTCCTGCAACTGCCTGCCCTTCTCGCAGGCACTGATGGCCGCATTGTTAACTGACGATGGTTTTGAGTGGAACGCAAGGGATCCCAAGGGTACCTCTTGGAATCTCATGGCCTCTAGTTGCTCTAGCTACCCTTGTCTCAATCAGGACGTGAAGGAATGCAATGGCAGCTCTGCCAGCGTCTTTGGCCATAGCGTGACATGTTTGGGACTGAGGACAAAAGTGTTTCTGCTTGAAGCCCTCTCAATCCAAATGAGCCCAGGACATCATTCAAATCAGCCTTTGACAGCTTTCTCCATGGAACAAACATGGACCTAGAATGCTGTCGGG